ATAAAAAATTTAAGAAATTAAAAAAATTAAAAGATTAATAAAAAATCGTCACACGTTTTGCACTAAATTTGCAATATTTCGTGTAATTCGAGTTTCGTGTAATTTGTTTTCAAATGCCTTGCAACGACGCATAAATTATTATTTTTGATGTATTAAATATATAAAAAAAAAAATTAATATAAAAAATTATTTTTATTTTAAATATAATAAGTGTATCACATAAATTATGCAAGATTTGTCGTGTGCCAAAATTTTTATTTAAAATTTTTTATTAAAAAACTAAATTAATTAACATATAAATTGTGCAGCTTTTATATCTTTCACTTTGACACTTCAAATGTGCTGAATATGATTTATTTAATTTTTTTTTGTATTTAGATAAATGACACGAATATAAATCATTTGCTATTTGTAAGTACAGGGTGCGTAAATTGTATGGTGTATATTTTACCCCAAGCAAAAATAAAAAAAAATTTGTTATGCGTATATCGGCTTGAAACTTACTTATCGTACATATGGAGGCGACTAAGAGAAAATATATTTTATTTGTTACGAACTTTTATATGCAAAATTATATATAATCGTATTTAATTTTTTTAATTCAATTATTTATTTATAAACATAATTTTTATATAGTTTTTTAACAAATAAGGCAGGAACTTGAAGTGTTCTCTATTTTGTCGTTTGAACGTAGTAGTGCATATCGCATTCTAATAAAGCCTTACATTATCTGTATGATGTTTAACGGGATTCCATATTTAACGATCTACGTTTAGATTGCTCTTATACATATTTTATAGAGAAAGCACTAGAAGATAACAAGTGAAAGAGTTTTAAAAGGCATTCGAACGGCTTCATTACTGTTCATAATATATTTAAATTATAAAATTTATTACATATTATTAAAACTATATATTCCCATAATTAATTCGCAGCTATTATATTTTTTTTTTTGAAGTATTGAACTAATACGCTTTCTCAACAATTTTTTATTAATTGATTTAGAGGTTCATTACTATAGATTCATCACTATTGTTGTTCCAGAGCTATATAATATATACAGTCTGACATAATATATACATTTTTAATATACAAATATATAAACATAAATTCAAAAAAAATCAACTAATAATGCTTATTAAAATACATTTTTTTTTAATTTATAAACTTACATTTTATTTTGTTTATTTAGAAACGAATTAAATTTTATTTCCTACACGTGTTCAAGTCGTTCTTAGTTTCGGGGCCTTAATTCACGATTAAATATGTTTTTTAATTACTTTAAATGAGATTTTAAAATGTGTCTTTTAGGTTCAAAATTAATTTATTTGACACTTATATTAGCGATTATTTTTAATGAATTATTCAGCAAACGCCAAATCAAGAAAAAAATTCAATTAATATTAAAATAAATAAAAAGTTTTGAGATTAGAATGTTTTTGGAATGAAATTAAAATTAAATTTAAAACCGGAAAAAAAACTGGTTCAATAAGAAAAATTAGTTTTATCAAATCCAAAATTTTAACTTATGTGAAAGAGAGCTTAAATTTGTAAAGAAATATTTAAGAATAAATATTTAAATTTTGCCTAAATATTTATTTATTTTTTTTTTATTACAGTCTCTGTTAATAATAACAATAAATAATAAAGTTTAAATGCATTTTTGACCTGTTTAGAAGCCATCCATTTAACAGATCACATCATTTATAGAGAAGTCTTTAACAGCAAGTCCCCCGTGCAATTAGGCTATGTAAACTTGTGTAGATCACTTCCAATTTGTCTCAAGTAGTTAAAATTATTTGAGATTAAAATATTCGAACTAGATATTATATAAACATATATGTTTATTTTTAATTAATATTTATTAGTTTATTGTTTAATTAAGTATTGAGAAGTTATTTTATCATTAATACAATATTATTATTTTATTTTATTTTAATTTTCAAATTTCAAAATTTTTTGAGTGATTAAAATTATTAAAATATGTAGACTGATACTTTGAACTTTTATTTTGGAATGTTTTTAATTATCATTGATATTTTTCTAAATTGATCTTGAGTATTCAAAAAGATATATTGATATAAGAAATTAAATTGTAGATGAAGGCGTCAGTAGCCAGAGCTATATCTATATATATTAGTATTAGTTTTTTAAACTAAACTATCATTATAAATTATTTATTTAATTATAATATTTTAATAAATTTTTTTTGAAATAGCAAATTATTTACATAACATAAAAAATTATTACTATTTTAAAAATAAATAAAACTGAACTTTTCTTTTCTTCAATAGAGAAAAAATCCTTTTATATAAGTATCTAAGCCGATACGCAAAATCAATAATTTATAATATATTATTAATGCTATTAATACATTTTTAGAAAATAATATAAATTCATTATTTTTAAAATATTCATTTTAATATAGAACTATAATACATTTTCTATATTTTAGTATAGAAACTTACCAATTACCACCATTTATCTTGATGCTGAGCTTCATTTATTTAAAATGATCATCACAAGATTAAGAAGTTCTCGGTATATCTTATCTCTAGCATTAGTTTGTCTAAGATTATAATTTTTTTTTGTATTTTAGTATTCATAATACTCTTTACAACAAATATTTGTACAAATTTTTAAACTTTAAAATGTAATTGATGTTTTTAATAAATTGTATATGAACCTTTTAGTCTACTCTTTGAGTACTATTTTAATTCATTATGAAAGGTTATGAAAACTAGCTTGAATGGTTTTAAAAATAATGAAGTTTCTGGACTGCTTATGACAACCTAGTGATTATTCTCATAGATATATTTTTTATTACCTATCTAATATGGAGTTACTTGTAAATCAATGTGTTTGTGCTATCCACTTAATTATGTAGGTCAGATTGTTTTGAGTTGTGAGTCTTAGAAAGCTTAAAATCATTTCGAATGTTTATTCAAACCTATGATGCTATTAAAGGAAAGGTCTTGCAAATAATTAAGATTGTGCACGTCCATAATTTGTTAAATCAACAGTTCTCACGGACTGAAAAAAACGAAAAAGATGTTATTCTCCACAGCAAAAGTTGGAGTCATTGAAGAGAATCTAATATTATGATTTTTAACCGATAGTGTCAGCAATCTGAACATAGAACCTAAATCTCTGTGGTACATTCAAACAACATGTGTAGAGTTTTTACCTATTTAATAGTAGCGAAATTGGCTTATCCTACTTTAATTGATATTGTATTATAAATAGTTGAAGACAAAGGCTCTCTAACTTAATTTCACTTAATTCAAAACTTCTCTTCGTTATTAAATTAATGTGATTACCATTTTGTAGAATTGAAATTAAGTAGTTTGTGTTTTATTTTTTTTATCAAAATTTAATCAGATACGTATATAAATTTATTTTAAGTTTTTAAGTTACATTGCGCAAAATGAAGCCAGATCAAAGGACTTAAAGAAATTTTATATTATGTTTGCTTTATTAGTGTACATATGAAATTATTATTATGTACATAATATGAAATTAAATCAATATAAAATAATTATTTCATTTCTTTACAATAAATTTAAGATTATTCCATTAGTTTTACTTCTTTAATAATCCTAAGCTATAACTTAAAACTAATATAATAAATACAATTAAATAATTTTCTTCTTTTCGCAAAATATACTTCTTTTTACGTACTGTTCTAATTAAATGACTTACAAATCAAATATGAACCACAAATTGCGCTTTTAAATAAAAATCGTAATATGCGTTCAAAATCCTTTCAATAATAATTCTGTTCTTAAAACTACTAATACACACAATTCTTGCTAAATATGTAATTGTGTAAAATAATTCCCCGACAGGATACGTCTTAGAAAACGACGGAAATAAACCAAAAATAAACAACACACATACAATAGCTTCATAATAAATACAATTAAAGCAAATTAATTCGTTTAAAAGATTCAGGCTAATTTAGTGCAGAAGCAACACAAGCTCATTCTGCAAGAGATAAAGATACAGTATCTGAAAAATACGTACACGCACTGGTAGAAAGAGGAACGCATGTATAGAGCACATTTAACTCATTTTTATTTACATTTCATTTTTATTTATTTTAATAAAAAAATCTACAATTTAACACTAAAACTATGAATGGCAGTTAAAACCAAATTACCCAACAACATGGATGAAGTGAGCATTTGTGGGAACTAGCAAAACCAGGGGGAACAGCAGCAGTAGCCATCTGCATAAAAATTGTAGAGCGTAAAATGTAGCGAATTAAATTGGTAACGCCTTTTTAGCGTGCTGACAAGGTGCCAGATACTGTGAATGGAAGCAAAAGTGGTAGCAACAGTCTGCATGCAAAACAAATACAACCTTTTCATTCATGCGCATAGATACAAATGTATCTCGCAGATAAAATCCACAGTACACACATATCAAGCCAAAAACGCACATAATCACACACAACTTTACGTTCTAGTAAACATAAAAATAAAACCACTAAAGTACAGATACAAATACACTGCATAAGCAGAAAACGAGTATCAGAGAGAGAGCAAGCACAGCCCATTTTGTTATTTCATATCTATCAGATATGTATTTAAATGTGCTATGTACATACGCCGAAAGCACTTTAATTTGCTGAGCAAGTAAACCGGTTCATATCTGTGTATTTGAAAAGTATCGCTCTTGGATTCCTACTACTTCGATGATTGTGTCTAGCTGAGCGCAAACCGCTCACGCCAGAGACTTCGTTTTGTATCTGTGAGTTTGTGAATTATTCTGACGACGACTTTCGTTGAGCGAACACGTGAAGTACGCGTTTACGTCTGCGAAACAATTCAAATATATAATAAATAAATATAAAAACAAACTAAGAAAGTGTGGAATATTGTGACAAGTTTTAATTAATTAATAAAATTAAAATGAAAAGTTAAACATTTTTATTAATTACAGAAACAGATTAAGTGTATGAAAATTATTTTCTTCAAACAATTTAAACTATTTAAAAGTATTGCAATATTGAGCAATCGTTGGCTAACAGTTTATGAAAACATAAATAACAGTGCACAATTTTAAATGTTAAAATAACCAAAACAAAACGGATACCCCCTCTCCCTCTGACAATTAAAACTACACATTTTTATATTAAACTGTGCTTATTTTAAAACGCAAAAATAGCTGAACTCATAATTGCCTCGCCTAGTTTACAAAAATCGCGCTTATATATGACTAAAATGATTCCGCCGGTACCCACTTCAGCCGTTATGATGCCAACGCCAAAGCAGAAAATCGGCTTCAGCATCGAATCGATCGTGGGCAATGATGCAAATGCCGTCGGCGACGGCAGCAACAATGTAGGTCATAACAGCAACGGTACTGTCAGTGAACAAGTCAATAATAACAATAACAATGGCAACAATAGTAGTGCTGCTAATGGTCCCACATCACCTCCGCAAACACCACCGATTGTTGGCTCTACAAATTTACCAACAACGCCACATTTGCCCCTATCAGGGCATTCACAGGGTTTACCGCCACATTTAGCGCACATGCCACATCAACTATCAGCTGCACAACAACATGCGCTACATCAACATATATTAATGCAACAACAACAACAACAGATATCACCAAAAACCTTAGATGGCTTGCCATTGCGCCACGATATACAAGATATCATACAACGTCTACAGCATAGTGCAACTGCAGCGAATCTGTCGGCCAATGGTCCATACAGTCCGCCTCAAACACGCCTTACCCCTGATGATAATGTCTTACACTTGAAACGTGAACGTTCTCCGGTACCTGTTGCAGTGGAAAACACGCAAAACCCAGCGCAACGACACCAACCACCTCATACACCGCCAAAGTCAGTATCACCGCAATCTTCACAACCAGCTTCTCCTCCAGCAATGCTTTTGAGTAGTCCAGCAACACAACAGTATCAGAAACCTGCTACTGGACCCATACTCGTGCCTGGCATGCCGCCAGCTGGTTTAGTTCGGCCATTTCCTATGGGGCCTATGGGTGCTGGTGCGCCACCACCACAACAGGGTCTTCCAGATATCAAAGCGTTGCCACCATATATAAATGCACCACCGGAATTACCGCCACAGCATAATCCCCATTTGATAGCGGCAGCACAATTTCAAATGGCCTTACAAGCTGGACATGTTTTGGGACCTGCGGCAGCAGCAGCAGCGGCAGCCGGCTTACCACCACATGCTGCTCCTTTTATGTCTAATCCGGGTATGCCACGTGATAGCTATCCACTATATCCATGGCTACTCAGTAGGCATGGTCGCATATTTCCACATCGTTTTCCAGGAAGTAAGTATCCAACACTTTTACGAATTATAATCAACTATTAATCAAGCTCATATTTGAATCCAATTAGTAGAGTAATATATATAATGCAATATATCAAGTAAAAATGTAATACATACTTAACAAATATGAATGATTTTAATACATGTAAATATGTATGTATTAGAACAATTTGTACATAGTTACATATATGTTTTTTATTAGTATATAGTTACTGTATGTACATTTGTGGTATAAATAATATTAACAACTAGTTCAAAAATGTTTATATTACGTACATACCTAGACGACGAAGTGAGCACATAAAAGAAAGAGCCTGATTGTATTTCACTTGGTGTATACCAGCATGATTCTAGACATTGTTCACTCAAGGTTATTAAAGACCCAAATACCTATTAATCGTATTACGATTTTTATCCATAGACTAGTTACTCGGATATATAAAAGTATTGGTATGCATGATTTTACTTTCATTGTTTGTTCTAGTATATTACAGCACAAGTAGAGTTATATAAAACAAAGATAATTTTCATATATACATGTATTACATTTTTAAAACAATAGATCTATTCTGATCGCAGTACTCTCTGACATCTTATAATATTTTTTACACGCTATATATTGCACATCACATATAATATATATTACATACTAGCATATATAAAAATGTATATATTATACATTATTGTTTATATAATGTACATTATACATTGGTATGATATAATTTGATATAAGTATTTACTTATACTTATATATTATTGTTGCCCTATATATATATATATATAAATATATATATATGTTTATACATTACTTATTTATTTGCTAAGTATATATAACTCGTATTGGATAATCTTATAATATAAATACTATATAACTACTAGAATTGCAACTAATTTTTACTTTTCTTTTTATTTTAGACTTTTTATTGCAACCTTTCCGAAAACCAAAACGTATCCGCACAGCATTCTCACCTTCGCAGCTACTCAAGTTGGAGCACGCCTTCGAAAGTAATCAGTACGTTGTCGGCGCTGAACGCAAATCACTAGCACAAGCCTTAAATCTCTCAGAAACTCAAGTTAAAGTTTGGTTCCAAAACCGACGCACCAAACACAAACGCATGCAGCAAGAAGACGAGAAGGGCGGATCTTCAGATCGTAACTCTCACAACACTAGCTGTGATGAGGAAGATGATGAGCTTATCGATATGGAAATGGACGATTGCCCGAGTGATGATGAACACGAGCTTGACGCAAGTCTAACCAGTCATTAAAGAATTTTCTTCTAACGATTTGTAAGGAGAAACTGTAAAATATGTAGATAAAACCTCGCCGAAATTTTGGATATCGTATGGCTGCATGTGTTCCTTATTTATTAAATCGAAATCAGTGGTGTATGTGCGTGCATGTGTTTGAGGGAATTTAGTGGTCTAAGGAAAGTGAACTTGTGATATATATCTAACGATGTAAGAAATAAAAAACTGAAAATCATAAAATAAACAAATTGATTAATTATGTATAGTTAAAATCTAATATAAAAAAGTATTAAAATTTAAAAATCATCAATCATAAAACTAAATATTTAAAAAGCATTTAAAATAATTTGTTGTGCCAAAATAATTTTATAACAATTTCAAATATTGAAGTGTATCTTTAGGAAAATTCCAAACCAGAGCTAAAGTAAAGGATTTAAGTAGTGAAGTTACATTAACTGAAAAATTCATTGTACAAAATTCATATTCTTATTTCTTCAAAAATTAAAAACAATTCTTTAGATTGTACATAAAAACAATTAGTTAAATTAAATATAAATTTTTTTTTATATAAAACAAAATATGTTATGATTAGTTATGTAGATTTGATTGAAAATTTGTATTAAGTTATAAATTATTTTAAAAAAACACTGAAAACGATAAGTTAAAAAACTTGAAAATATACACAAAAAATCCATTAAAAAATTAAAAATTTTGTTTTATTTGAAGCGAAAATAATATAAAAAATAATTGCAATGTGGTTTAATCACGCTGTAAACATATATCTTGCTTATAGTGCAGATGTGTGATCATTACTGTTAATTTACAACATACGAAAGTACAGATAATTCAAAGATTATTTGCACTTATTGAGAACTGAAATAGTGAACCACACCATAGCCATAGGTGGTATGAGTGGTCAATTAAGAAAATTTTCCGAATATAGCCATTTGGACCTTAATTATTCCTCCTCTTCAATTTGTGCAATAGAACTGCCAAAAAAAAATTTGAGAAATTTGAAGAAACTAATTTTGTTTATATGTTTTAATTGAATTACGGCGTCATAACGTCAGAAGATTTCGTAATTCATTCTAATTTGTACTATAATATATTCTTTGTAGATGTGCGGAATTTGAAGTAATGTTTATTTATGATAGTTGGTAATATACAACAGGTTTCGTTTTCCTTTTCCTACATTATTACACTGTAAAGTTATCTATAGCGCAGTCTGTTAAACATCATCACAGATTATTGATTTCATAAATATTCATATTTCAATCATAATATTGTAGCTGTCATTATATTGTTTACAAAGTCATATAAGACTTTGCCATAAAACAAGGTTTACTTCTCTCTACACGAATATCATCCTCAACCTTCTCGTGGTGATCCCTATTTTAAACAGCGGTATATCTGTTCCACAACATCTGGTTATTAGGGGAAATACCAGTTGCCACATAAAGACTGGGGCAGGTTCGGAGGCTCGGGATCTAACAACTTTTATGTAAGGTACATACATACTGTATTTGACTTCCAAATTATTCGAGTATTCACAAAAGTATTGAGGGATAGATATATTTAGATTACACATAATGTTATATGTTTAAAATATATTAAATAATTCTGTCTTAACACTTTTAAGATACTTATTAAACAATCTCCATCACTCATCAGCAGCAATAACGAGAGATTTAGATACAGTACTTCTTGCAACAACTTTCGATAGTGAATAAATCAATCTGCCAAAGCAACTCTCAATACCGAATGCCGATTTGATTTAAATTTATTTGACGCCTATTACTTAAAAGTGAATATGCATTATTGTATTGATAATACCTGGGTATTAATTATAAAATATATGGTATGCCTGCGTGGTCACAAATTGTTGCTTAAGCAAATACCATAAATTCTTGAAATCATATTCGAGATACCCGTTTGGCAGCGGATTCTTATTAATTTATTTGTAATTAAATCGCTGTTATTGTTGTTACCTTGTCGTTGCTGTCTTAATTGTTAATTAATTAACCTGACATTTGACACATTTTAATTGAAGAAAAAAATGCATTTAAGCCTTATGTTCTTAATGAATTTATTAAAGAAACATAATAATTTAAAATGCAAATTAAATTTGCTTTAATAGCACATTTTATGACTTTCAGATAAACACTTCTAATAAAAAATACTTAATAAAAACTGAAATTTAGTAACAGGTTTTAGTAAACTAAACCTTTTGTGTTCACATTCAAAATCAAAAAAAAAACTCAGTTGAAAAATTTCCCAAAACCAAACCAGATATAATATTGATATGATGTGATATATTTATGATATATGTAAGAAAATTCAAAAGATTAAAATAAATTAAAGTAGCATAAGAAAAATTGAGGATTATAAAATTTAACAAAAGTATAAAGTTTTTGTTTATGGAATTAAATAATTAATTAAAATAACAAATACTTTTTAGCGAATATAATAAACAAAATTAATAACATCAGACTTACATATAAAAAAGAAAAATAAATGTTATATATAAAATATTTTAGGGATTACTGAGTTCTGGCAATTTTTATATTTAAAACTTATATTCCCTATAACTAAAAATCTCTTTTCAAATAGAAAACGTAGTAATTAATAATACCACCTACTCGGACTACAGCAGAGATTGACTAATCAGCTTTAGAATGGCTTATGGCTTATCAACCATTACATTTTTCGCTCAACATTTTCACCAGATGTTTCTTACCAAAAAACAAACCATAAAAACTTTATGATTGCATGTGGTAGATGTTATCAGCTTCTCATGACCTAAGATCTATCTCTTAAACTCATTTCACTTCTTCAAGAACTTATAAGCACCAAGTTTTCCTCTTTACTCAAACTAGTACTGTCGCCATTTTCTTGTTGAGTTGGCAATAATTCAGTTATCAATCGAGGATAAGATTGCCAGATTAGAAAAATATTGCAAAAGCACAATAAATACAATTAACCCAATAGAACTATTTAAAATTTAATAATATTGTAAATGTAATTAATACAGATTCTAAATATCTAATTAATAAGTATTTTTTAATTAACCTAAAATCATTTGGTATGTAGAAGTCAGGTATCGTAGAGGTCAGGTAGAGTGCCTGTAAGCTTATGAATGTAAATTTGTTTATTTTATAATTCAAAATATACTTTTATGTTTGTAAACTTATTCATAAGTAGCACTTTTTACATGTCTTGAGTAATTATTAAAGTAATATATTACACCCCAGCATGTTCACGGTACATGTTTCTCATATCTTATTTTGATTTCGGAGTTTACATTTTATGTTATCACAAGAACGAATTAAGACAGAAACAACGAAACTCGACATCGCTCTGAACCGTAATTCTCGGAAATTAATACAATTTAATCAAGTAAGGCTTGAGTCGTTTCGTATATCACATCCACACGCGTTCTGCTCGCTTTTGTGTGCGCACACATTAACAATTCATCCAGAGATATTACACACATCTCTCCAAATAAACTTATTAAGTAATCCAATTGGGTTAAATTAGCCTCGTCTTTTGATTTCTTTGAAGCTTCAATTCGTTATGGTACATTTTTTTATCGACTTTATTTCGTGTATTTTTAGGATTTTATTGTTGTTATTTTTAGTGTTTTGTGTTTATTTCCAAACTAATTGACTTTTGTTTACTTACCTCAACTTCAGTTTGAGTGTTTATAAAAATATTAGCTGGAGAACTTATCTGTTAGTAACGCTAAACAGAGCTATGTGATTTAATTAAAATTGTAGAAAAAGAAACATTTAAGGAATCATTTTATAAAACTAATTGAAAGATCATACGAAAACATTTAAGTAAAAAAATGCATTATATCTATTATAAAATGATTTGAAATATTTTTTTAAGGTTTGATCCCTACAACTACTGTACAGGTGAACTAATGTACTGCACAGAACACAGATTTGTTCTCTTTATGAATAATATAATCCGTTTTCAAGCATAACATCTAATCTAATGATACAATATTTTATGATAACGAGTAAAATTTTTATCATTATATCCATACTTCATTAAAAGTTTAGAGTTTCTATAAATATTTCGAAATTGATTCTATTTTTAGTCAATTGTCTCAGTTCATCATACGGTTTGTCAGTTTTTGTTTGCTCTCTTACCGTCCAAGTCATTACGATTTACCGTGGTACCTAGACCTAGACGAGTGCCGTATACAAACGTGTTGTTCCTTACCATGTTCCTTACCTCTTTAGGGATCATATGTGCTATCCATCCATTTTTAAGGTTCTTCTTTGACTTTATTCGATAAGCATCAAAATTTTTCATCAACCATAATGGATTCTGAATGCAATCACACAAATCAGTACAAACTTCATCATAGATATAATGTTCCACGCATCACTAATATACCTTCCTCTGATAGAGAATTTATAGCGTTAGATATTTAAGTAAGCATCGACTTCATTTTGGATATTTCATTCAATATTTTCTTAGCTGGTTACATTGCATTTGTTGGAAATTATAGGATTTCAAGGATTTGATTTGTTTTCTATTTAATACCATTGTTTTCACTGACGAAAATTGCAAAAACTATGTTTAAAAGCCGCGGTAATAAATCTATGCGTTGAAAAGTACTTGTAATCGATGCGAAAATGACACGAAAGTCTTCTGTGTACTTTTAATTCCGCTATTTATGCATTCTCACTTGCAATCCAATGGACCATAACTTCATTTTAGGTAGTTTATCCAGTTTTAAACCCTTTATATTCAACCTTATAAAAAGTGTTTGCAAAAAGTTTGCTTCAATTAATACATAATGTGATCGAATTTATTTACTAACAAACCTTTAGACATTATTGAATCCATTCATTCCTTTATACTGATAAAAAATACGTACAGTTGATCTGTTCTAATGGTGGTGTGGGTTCTTAAGGCGTACGGGATAAAATATTGTATTGATGTAATTTTTAGTAATATTTTTAATTTGATTTTTGCTATAGTGTTTTGATATATTTTTAATTTATACCTTCTAAACTTGGAAATATTTAGATAAGCTTTTCAAAATGATAAAAACTAAGGTAGTAATGAAATTTCATTACAATTTTTGTTAGAAGAAGAGAATGGTGTAAGATAAAGTAGTTCACTTACTTCAAGATCGAAAAACTTGAGCTATTCAAGGCACTTGATCTGAAAATAATCAACTCATTATACATTACTTAAAGGCAGTCGAAATTGAAGCATTTGCCAAACTGTCAAA